AGACGGTTGTGTTTTGGACACCATATTTGATGAGCGGGGGAGGGTCCCTTCCATAAACCACTCGGAAAGGAGTAGTCTTTGCAGAAGCATGGAAAGTGGTATTATACCAATACTCGGCCTAAGGCAGCTATGTAATCCAGTTTCGAGGCTTATCAAAGGTGAAACACCGCAAATAAGTTTCCACACACTTGTTTACAATCTCAGTCTGTCCGTCCGTTTGTGGGTGATAAGCCGTGCTTCGATGAAGAAAAGTGCCCTGTAATTTGAATAACTCCGTCCAAAAGTGGCTTAATAAAACCTTATCTTGGTCTGTTACAATGGATCTTGAAATACCATGAAGTTTTACCACCTCTTTGACAAATATGGCTACAACCCTCGGAGCCGTGAATGGGTGTTTGAGGGGAAGAAAGTGAGCATACTTTCTCAGGCGGTCTACTCCCACTAATATAGAATCAGACCCTCGGACTTTGGTAGTCCCTCTATGAAATCCATGGAGATATCTTGCCAAACCCAACATGGAATAGGCAGGGGCTGTAAGAGGCCTGCAGGAGAACGAGCTGAACTTCTGTTCAATCCCTCTTTGAAATCCATGGAGATATCTTCCCAAGCCAAACACGGAATAGGCAGGGGCTGTAAGAGGCCTGCGGGAGAAAGAGCTGAATTTTTGTTCTGCTTGCACAGAGCACATTCCTCCACAAACTTTTTGATGTCTTTCTTCATACCTCTCCAATACAAATCTGTCAGTCGTTTGTATGTTCGAAGAAAACCGAAGTAACCACCCACCAGGCTGTTGTGATATTCCTTCAGCAAGTTTTGAATCAATGAAGAGGCTTGAGAAATTACTAGTCTCCCATTGTACAGCAATCTGCCTTGCTCTAGTGAGAAACTTGTGTGGGAGTCGGTGTCTCCTTGTAGATCTTTTATTTTGGAGAGCAGAGGGTCGGTGGCTACCGGCTCCATTAATGTTTGGACGTCCACTACTGTCGGAACCGTGATGGCCGAGAACTCTACTGGGGGGCAAACCCGAGACAATGCACCCGTAGCCTTATTTTTCATGCCGGGGCGATATTGTATCTCGAAATCATATCCCATCAGTTTAGTAACCCATTGTTGAAACTCCCCGGGTACTACTCTTTGTTCCAACAAATACTTCAGGCTTCGTTGGTCAGTCCGCACTACAAATCGCCGCCCCAACAAGTCATGTCGCCATTTTTGAATAGCTAACACCATGGCCATAATTTTTCTCATAAATTGATTTTTGCTCGGACTTGCAGGACAATACTTGACTAACGAAAGTAATAGGCTGCTGGTCCTACTTCGATACTGCCCCCAGACCGTATCCAGATGCATTCGTCTCTACCACAAATGCTTTTGAAAAGTTCGGAAAGGTTAGAATTAGGACCGTAGTCATGGCTGTTTTCAGTTGTTGGAAGGCCTTTTCAGCCTTCGGAGTCCACCCAAATGCATCCTTCTTTAATTGCTGTGTGAGTGGCCAAGATATAGCTCCATAGCCAGCAACAAACCTTCGATAATATCTTGACAGGAAGCCACGAAGCTCCTTAAGAGTTCTTGGTGTTGGCCAATTTACCATAGCTAAAATCTTGTTAGGATTAGTTGCCACCCCTTTGGCCGACACCAGGTGGCCCAGATACTCTTTGCAGTTGCGTGAATGAGCATTTTTTGATGTTGGCATAAAGCTGATGCATATGCAGGGTGTGTAACACCATCTCCAAGTGCCGTTCATGCTCCTTCCTGTCCTTGCTGTATACAAGGGTGTCATCAAAAAACACCAAAACATTCTCAAATAACCTCGAAATACCTGATTCATAAGTGATTGGAAGGTAGTCGGTGCGTTCGTGAGCTCAAACGGCATTACAAAAAATTCATAGTGCCCTTCGTGCATTCGTATGTCTTCTCCCCGCACCCTGATTTGAGGTCCAGTTTAGAAAAAAACTGTTGCTCCATGCAGCTCGTCCAGTAACTCGTCGATTATAGGAATTGGGAATTTGTCGGGAATGGTAGCTTTATTGAGGGCACGGTAATCAGTGCAAAACCGCCAACGTTGTCCTTCTTGACGAGCAAAACGGGACTAGAGATTGGAGACATGCTGGGATGAATAATTTTGGTTGCAAGCATTTCCCGAACCATCCTCTCTATTTCATTTTCCTAAGTGTGCGAGTAGCGGAAAGGCCTGACACTGACTGGCTCCGTGCACTCTTTAAGTCTAATGGAGTGATTAGTTTCCCGATGAGGGGGTAAAC